AAAGTACAGTTGTCCCTCCATATAGTCACCTCCTATATAATCACATCATAGGTAATCATATTTTTATTTTGGCCAAACTATAATTTAATTTATAAGAAAAAAATCTTCATATAAGCACAACCTCTTTATAACTACATTTTTATAAAAAGCTACTGTGTAATTGTATGGAAGGACGACTGTATTATTAATAGATAATCCACCAGTCACCTGGATAAAAATTTTTTTTTATATATAAATTTTACTATAAGTGTAAATGCACAGTGTCTCTATCTAAAACTTTTTTTTATACTAAGTAAATCACTTTTTGCTTCTAACAAAAGTTGTAGAGCTTATCACAATGTATTTAATACTAAAAGAATATTAAAATTAGCCTAGTAGTTCTTGATAAATCTTTAAAAAACTTCTTTTTTATATATAAAATTTCTTTAAAAAAAATTAATTTTTTTAAAGAAATTATATATATGAAAATGAAGTTTTTTAAAAATTTCTCAAGAACTACCAGGCCAATTTTAATATCTTATCAATATTAAATACATTTTGATGAGCTCTACAACTTTTGTTAAAAGCCAAAAAGTAATTTACTTAGATAGACACACTGTGCATTTACACTTATAGTAAAATTTATATACAGTATAAAAAAAATTTTTTATCTAAATAACTAGTGAATCGCCTATTAATTGTATATAAAATAAAAAATTTAAAAACTCAAATTCTATATAATTTAGACCTAAGAGTTAGAAAAAAATTAAAAACTTAAACTCAAAACAAATGCCTAGATTTTAAAAGCCAATATCATTAAAATCTAAGAATTAGCAAAAAATTAAAAACTCAAATCTGGTCAATACTAAGTTCTAAAAGCTAATAATGTTAAAACCTAAAAATTAGCAAAAAATTAAAAACTTGAACCTAGACAATGACTGGGTTCTAAAAACTAATAATATTGAAGCCTAAAAATTAGCAAAAAATTAGAAACTCAAATCTAAAGCTACACCTGAGTCTTAAACTAATATTATTGAGGCCTAAGAATTAGTATAAAATTAGAAACTCGAACTCGAGACAACACCTGAGTTTAAAAACTAATAATATTGAGGTCTAAGAATTAGTAAAGAATTAAAAACTCGAATATAAGGCAATGCTCGGGTTTTAAAACCAATACTATTAAAGCTTAAAAATTAGTATAAAATTAGAAACTTGCTCCAAGACAATGCCCAGGTCTTAAAAATTAATAATATTATATATTTTGTTAATAAATAAAAAAGATTTTAATATGACTATTAATATAGAAAAATTACCAAATGCTAAGATATTTCAAGCACATTTTAATATTTTAAGATATAGATCTTTGTATTTTTATAATAAATTAACAAAAATTAACAAAGATAAAAATAATATTAAAATGGTTAATTTGAAAATTATATTTCTATTTAGCAATTTGAAGTAATTATTAAGTAAGTTATTTATTTAATAAAACAATAATTTAGAATTTTATTTAAATACTTAAATTAAGATATTATGAATAAGTTGTATTTTGAATATAGAGATTTAAATAAAGAGTTAGTCTTATGAATCTATTAAGATAATTTGTACATTGAACTAATTTTAATTACTAAATTACAAATTTAATAAAAGTATATTTATGGGAAGTGGTTTTATTAGAAAAAGATTAAGAAGTACTATTTATTTTTAAACTCATCCTTGTTGCTTTCAAGATTCTTTTTGATAAATTAGTAAAATATTTTAAAGCACAATTAATTAAAGAAAATATATACTGACTGCATTTAAATTTTACATGCATTTATTATAAAAGTTTTTAAAATAAAAAGCTTCAAGAATTACAAAAATGGAGTAATGATATTATTGCAAAATATTATAATAATGTTTTTGAATTAGAAGACTTCACTTCACTTCCAGAAAAGCATTAATTTTACTTATTAGCCAAGATGATTTACAGATAGATGAAAGAAAAATTTGGGAACATGTCAAATAGAGAATTGCTCAAAGCACAAATTTATCTTCCAATCCTAAAAATTGATCTCATAAGAACTTTTTGGCTTTAAAGATAGCTTTACAAAATTGTATGCTTTTTATCTACTTGTTTGCTTTTATTCACTATTTCCAAATATAAATAATAATATTATTGATAAAGTAAAACTATATAAAAATATTCTTGAAGAAATCTTTGAGATAATATACTTGTAAGACTTATTACTTCAAAGAGACAAATATTTTCAACAATTCTTCTGCCTTGTAAGATTTTAACACTAATATTACCATCTAGAAAAACTGAACCATTTCCTTTAAAAGTTATTAATAAAAATCATGCAGCAGAAATTGCATTATAAATTGATAAGAAAGATAAAAAATATTTTGTTACAACTAACTCTTATAAATTTAATTTACTACTTCATAGAACAAGAGACAGTTTTACTGCACAATCATTTTGGAATTTATGTGCCTAAGTAGACATTTTTATTATATAGCTGTAATAAATTATCTGGATAACTAGGTAATTTAATAAGGGTAGTGTTATTATCATCTGATTTTTTTTATTAGAGGCTTATCTCCCTTTTCTAGTTTTTAATATATAATTTATCAAGTCTTATATATAAAATTTCAAATTTTTTAACCCTCTCTAGAAAATTACCTAATAATTTTCAGCTCCCTAATACATATGTAGAGATTTTCTTAATGGGTACAATCTCTACTTTTTCTTTGTTCTGATAATAGTTTAAATAAAGTAGGTATATTTTTTAAAATATTGAACTATTCTATCTATTTTGTTAGTATAAAAATTTACTTTTTCTATTCTCTATATTTAGTACTTTAATATATATCTTGCAAACACTTTTCTTGTTTTTAATAATATATTAGCCTAATAATTCAGATATTGGTAGCATACTTTATAGTTTTTATTAAGCAATAATGATTATTAATTATGCTATTTCAAAAATAATATTACCTAAATTGACCAATATATAAGCTCACAAAATATAAATATTAATGCTAAAAATATCCCACATTGGCTTAAATTAATATTAAACATCAAATAAAATCTAAGATCTTGGAGTAGTTAATTTCTTTTAACTTTCTTGTTATTTAATTACTAATATGGAAGACATAATATTTTATATTCAATGTTTATATATCATATTTAATTTGACAGTATAAACATATAAAGTAAATGCATTTTATTTTTTTTTTATACAATTACATACTTTACTATAATACTGTATTTACTATTGACAATATAAATATATAAAGATTCTATTTTTAGAGTTTGACATATTTATTTGACAATCTGATTAAAATAAATCTGATACTATATATTGTAGATTTTACTACATAATGATAAACTATATATTTATTCAAAAAAAATTATGAAACAAAAAAAACAAAAAAAAATCTTATCTATTGACTATCATTACTATCTTCTTTATTTATATTATCAACTTTATTATCACTATTATTACTTAGAGCATTCTGAATCATACCAATTATTGATGACTTACCAGTTTCAAGCTTACTATTTCTACCATATATTATAGACCTATTATAATCAATTACTTGTCTTCTTTTTATGCTTGTTTTAAATACTTTTTCATTTTCAAATTTAGAAGTAACTTATTCTATCTTGAAATATCTTTAGAATGACTAACAAGATAAAAAAATCTTGAATCATTATAATTTCGGGGTTAGCTTTAGCTTGATCCCAATTTTAATCTAAAATGTTCATCAAGTGTGTGATGCAAAAGTTCTTTAAACTACAAATAAAATTAAAATAGCAAGATAAAAATATAATAAGATATCAAACTCAGATTTTGATTAATATAATAATACCAAAATTTTAAATATATAAACACCTCTAATAAATACTATGAATAATTATAAACAATAATTTTTTGTTTTTTCTTCTAATTATCTTTATCAGTTTCACTTTTTTCAGGAGAATTTACTTTGGTATTTAGAAGGAGGTCAAGAACCTTATTCTTATTATAACCATGAACTCACTTATCATTTTGAGCAAAAAGTAATTTGGCACTCTTTGATTGCTGAATTTTTTTCTAAAAATAAAGTATATTGAATATTTTGTTATTACTATAATAAGAGTAATCTGTGTATAAAATTATATATTAAAATATTATCTCAGTTATCTATTATTAATATGTAATTAACAATTATTTTTATCTAATTTGTCTGATTGTTTCTTTAAAAAACAATCTTTCTGATGCTAATACAAAATTTTTAACCACTTTCATAACTGGCTCTGCAGAGAAGTAAACTTGGGTGCTATCAACTTTACCAATTCAGGAATTAACTTAGTTAAGACTTTTTAGTTATTTTTACTTGTAAAAATCTGATCGACTTTAAGCTTATACATTTTTGATACATTTTTATAAATTGACTTTAATTCATTTTAAATAAAACAAGAAAAAAAAATCAAAAAGTAATTTAAAAAATTTTATAAAAAAATTTTAAAAATTATATAAACTTTTGCTTTTTTGAAATCAGAGTTATTTTCATCAGATGTTATCTTTTCTTGCTTAGTCTTTTTATTATTAGTTTGCCTTAATTAAATAGTTTCCTTATTTCTTTCTTTATTACTTTCTTCATTTTTATCTATATAGAAATAATGTGTTTCTTTATTTTCATTTAAAATATTAAAATCTTCTATAGGCAGTTTAAGTAGCTTATCTGCTCTACTTTTTCTTTTTTCTTAATTTGCTATCTTTAGTTTTATTTCTAACTCCTTAATTTGATTTTGAAATACTGTTTATTTTTTATTAAACAATTTATTAATTTACATTAACATACTTATTTCTTCATCTAAGTTTTTGGTTTAATTTTTTAAATTATTAACTTTTTTGCAAAGTTGTTGATTTTCTAAAAATTAAACAAATTAGTAATAATATATACAATTAAACCAAAAAAAAGTTTAAATTATCTTCTTTAATTCGATCAAAATCTTCTAATTTTATGGTTTCAAAAAATTCTAATATTATTCAACTTAGTCTTTTAGATAAATGAATATTTAGGTATCTTTCAACTAATCTACTAAATAAACTATTAGTATCAACATTACTTTCTTGTATTGAAGATATCATATTTTTCTGAACTTTGGATGGCTCACTTAATTCAATAAATGCTAAAGGTTAAAACAATAAAGATAATTAATGCTCTTGCAGTTTACTATAGGCTAATAATTCTAATTTCGATTTGTTTGTGCATTATAACAATCTGGCAAAATGTTTGGTAGGTTGTTTTGATTGTTTAGACATTTTTAAGAAAAAGATTTAGAAAAAAGTAAAAGTTAAAAAAATATAAAAGAATTTTTGTTAAAGATGTTTAAAAAAAAAGGTTAATAAAAATAAAAATAGCAGTAATGTTTAGTAGTATTTATTGCTTTGAACATACTATTAATAGTATTAAATAAACCAAATTGAGAGACTTGAGAAATCCAAGGAATCTTATTTGGTTTTTTTTTATTAGTATATTATTATTATTATTGTCTTTATTGATCTAAATTAAAGAATTATTTGTAGCAAATAGTATACTTGAATATTCAAATAAAAGTTAAAATGTTATATAAATAGATACAAAGAGTTAAAAGAAGATCAAATTTCAATTCCTCAATTCAAATAAGAGAATTGTTTATAGCAAATGGTATACTTGAATATCCAAATAGTATTATAATAGTTGAGATATATATTTAGATACAAAAGAATATAAAGAGTTGAAAGTAATTAGATTTCAATATCTTGATCTAAATGAGAGAATTGTTTATAGTGAATAGTATACTTGAATATCCAAATAGTATATTTGAATATCCAAATAGTATACTTGAATCCAAATAGTATATCATATATACAAAAGAATATAAAGTACTGTATTGTTTCAATTCAAATAAGAGAATTGTTTATAGCAAATAGTATACTTGAATATTCAAATAGTATTATAATAGTTGAAATATATATTTACATACTATACAAAAGAATACAAAGTGTTGTCTTAATTTAATCTAAATAAGGGAATTGTTTTTAGCAAATAGTATATTTGAATATCCAAATAGTATAAGATATGTATATTTATATTCACAAAAGGATATAAAGAATTAAAAGTAAGACCAGATTTCAATATCTTGATAAGTGTTATTCTTTACTTTTGCTATTAATTTATAATTTAGTTTAAGAGTGTTTTCAAATATTTTAGAGTGCTCTCAAGCATTTCAATCAATAGATCAGTGTATAAATTTTAATTAATTCGTGATCTGCCAGTGAACCAGTGAAAACACATAGTAAAAAGTGGGAAATTTACTATTGTCTTTGGAATCTGGAGTTTCCCAAAGAAAAAGTTTTCCTTTACTAAGTAAACCTCTTTTCGACACCTAAGTAAAGTTGTAGAGGAGTGTCTTGCGATCAGAATGGCAGTTAAAACGTTAAAATCGGCCCAGTGGATTGAGAGTTATAAGCATTTTAGTCTTCGTGACTATATGTTTTCTTAATTATATAAATAAAGAAGAAAACATATAGTTGTGAAGACTAAAATGCTTATATCTCTCAATCTACTGGGCCGATTTTAAGGGTAGAGAGTACTATTTTAAAATTATATATAAACTTGATGGTAAATTTTTTTTATATTTAATTTTATAAAAAATTATATTAAGTA